GTGGGTTCCTCGTCATCGAAAGGGAAAAAACTACGTTCCTAATTCTAAGAGCCCAAGAGCAAAAGCCACACTACCTACATTACCTTCGTTATGTCCAGTGCTGAGGAGGCCTTACGCCAATACCAGGGCTCATCAGGCCGGCTGGGTTACGACAGACAGAGTAATGGTCTAGGCACTATTTATATTACCAGTTTTCACGAACAACAACTGTTAGGGTTTCAATCAAATTAAGCAAGTGAATTACAATTATTATCAATTTTGTTTAAATTATTTACAAACCTGGTTTTTGGGTTAGGAATTGATGATGTTAAATTAGAAGTTTAAAGCATTCAAAAGTTTGAATATTACAGAAATTAAAGTTAAAGAAGGATATATCTGATATTCAATGGATATTCAAAGTTATCCGTAGTGAGGACGTGTACAATACAATAAGAACAATAACATACTAAAAAATATAACAATTTCAGAAACAGTTTTATATAAAAATGGATAATGTATTCTTAACTAAGTCAACGCTTGAGATACAAAATTTATTAATAAAGAATATAGTTAACGATTTTTAAATGGATACATATTTGGAGATTATTAATCTAAATTCATTTTATCACGCATTTCTTTATACACATAAAATGACTTTGCCTGCCAGTGTCATGACAGATTTCCCCAACTTTAGAAAACATATCTTGCATAAAACTCTTTCAAATGTAAAGCCACAAATAGTTTAGCAGATTATTAAGTGGGGTGATTTATTTGAGATATACATGCAATTATTACATCGAAATGACCACTTTTTAATGTACTGACAGTAGGAAGAAGACTCGGTGTTTCCAAAACCTTGATATTCAAGTTTTGTTAGGTAACACGCTACAAAACTATTTGTGCTTTACGATGAGAGAAAGAAATCGTGGGATGATTCCATAATATGTAACTTTCATTTATATGTGAGGAAAATTTTCTAAAGCCTAAATTTCAAATCTTATAAAACTTCATTCGATTAGCTTATTAACATGAAACACAAATTTTTAGCTTAATAACATGAAACAAATTGTTAAACTATACCCTTGGTGAATGCATTTATGAATCTACATAGTGCAAAACCACTACATTTTGATCTATGGTTATTAACTTTGATAATGAACAACTCGTATTTTGAGGTTTTTATTTCCTCTAAGTTTTATTCATTTATATCAATTTTCAATATCTCCTTACTCTGAGCCGGCCCTGACCTACTGGTTGGCGTGCCAGACTTTAGATTCGAGGGTCCATGGTTCACGTTCCGATGCACCACCACCATGCTCCACACTCTAGGGCCGTGGATGCGTTGTAAGATTGATGGTCAAATTCCGTTGTTCAGTTAGAGTAGCTCAATAATTGGTTGTGTATGCTGTTGATTATATGTCTTCTATCAAGTCTGCCAGTTCAGAATTAGGGACGGCTTGCGCAGGTAATCCTCGTGAAACTTTGCGCGAATATTCGAAAGCACACACACACACACACACAAAAACAATTTCTTACTCTAACAGAACTTTAATGAAACGCATACTGAAAGAAATATGTAAGGCATAAAGGGAGGAATTTTGCTCAAACGAACACGTTCTTTATCGGTTTTGGTTCCGAAGAATGTTCTAGTTACGGTAGTTCTATAAAACGTAGAAAAGAATATCGATATATTCGTCCCCCCAGTGACTCAGTGATAAGTCTGAGAGCTCAAACCGCTAAAAACCAGGTTTCGTGGTGGACACAACACAGATAGCCCATTGTGTAGCTTTGTGCTTATCAATAAACAAACGAACAAACGATATATTCAAAATCATTATATAGGATGAGTACGAAATGCTCACTATGTCAATCGTCAT